GGGGGGGGGGGGGGAGCATGGTGGTGCATTGAAGTCAATGGCATCGCAGCCACGGCCCTCACCCGCAGTGCGATCACCCGCACCCGGAATGCAGGCACATTAGTGCCTGCGGTCCGGTCCAGTGCGATCTGCACAAATGCTGCAAGCACTATTTATGCAGATTGCACGGGGACCGGAATGCAGGCAGGTGATCGCAGTGTGGGCGGGGGGACATGGCAGCGGTGCCATTGCCTTAAATACAACCCCACACCCCCTCCTGCCCCTGAACGCAGGCCGGGGGACGGAGCCGCTGTCACAGCAGCATGTGCGGTGAGGAGAGAGAGGGCCTGCGGCAGTCAGATCCAGGCCGAGCGTCTCTCTCACCTCAACGCTCGGTGTGCTGCTGTGATAGAGGCTCCGCCCCCCTCCCTGCCGCTGCCTGCAGCGCTTCGTTCACTTCTCTGATCCCCGCTGCATACAGATGGGGGACAGCAGCGGGGATCTAGAGAAGCCCCACGGCAGGAGGGCAGGACATCGTGATCCATCAGGGATCGCTTTGGGCACCCCTGCTGTACACTAATGGGACTGGATTTTCCCATCTTCCATAGTGGAGGTGCACAGCGATGCTTGCGTAGATGAAGTGTAAGTGACGATAATAAATTATTGTGTCTGTGTACAGTAGGAACAAGGCTTTTAGTACTAAGAAACACACAATGTATGTCAGAACAGCTATACTAAATAAAACAATATATGCTTAAAAGGAAAAAAAGACATATATATATATATAGCATTGTAAAAAAAAAATAGGAACCATACCAAAAATATAAATCCATCTGTGCAGGTCACACCTGCTCACTTACTTCCCCATGTTCACGCAGCCTGTACTAGTTCTATTCCAGCACTTAGAAAATCAATTAAAACTACTTAAGGATCGAAGCTGCACAGCAAATTGCCATTTAGCTTAAGCAAACTGGATCAACAAGGTAATCAGATTTATTAAATCTCCACTGCCCATATTAAACAAACACAGGCTATAAACAACAGGGGTATGTAAATATGGAAATGTCTGTTACACTGGCTATACCATACAATAAAATGTTATCATTACATTAAGATACAGCAATACATCACACAGGGGTCAATTTAACACTTGATTAGTAGGCACTGTGGAAACACACAATTTTTATAACTAAACCTATCCTGCCAGAAATACGGGGGCCATCAGCCAACACATTAAAAGCTGAAAATAAAAGGATTCTGCAGTGAATTTGATTTCCTACTATTTAGATATATTCACACAAACACGCCTGAATAATAAGGATGGACAAATTCACCTTCCAGTCGGCTACATCCCAGCCGCAAAACTACCATTGGCCAAAAATCACCAGAATCATTATAGTTTCCTATTAAAATGCAGACTGCAGTAATGGCCAAACATACTGATGCTGAACTTAAAAACTAGGTATATGCTTGAAGTTCAGTCCTATTTTTCACCAGAGTATGAAAGAAGAAACCTGCCAAATAAACCAGTTGTTTCTACAGCATATGTATTATGCTTTTACGACAGCTTCTTGATTAGTTCAGTGATTTCCCTGTTCTACCTTCAGGCCGAAGAAACTCACTGCCCTGATGCTTGAGAGGTGGATGTATGGCTGCATGTGGAGGGAAGGGAGGGGGCTGGAGAAGTGGATAAAAGTCTGCATGAAGGGCAAAAGAGGTCGATATCCGTCTGCAGTGGGAAACAAAGTAAATAAGGATGCATTGTAGGGAAACTTAGACACAGGGTTGCATAAGGAGGAAGGGTAGATGTAAGGCTACTTGCTTGAATGACCACTCTCCACAGCTGGCTGGAAGGACCTATCTGCATACTAAAACAAGTGATACCAGGTATTTTAAGTGTCACACTACTGGCTGTGCAGGGTGTAACAATGTTGAATGCATTTATATTTGAATGCATCCCCAACACAAAACCTCTACATCCTTTTACCCCTATAAATGTATTTTTTTAAGTTGATAACTATGTTTTGTGGCTGATTGCAGGGAATAATGTGCTGCTGATTTTGGGCATTGTTATGTTTCGAATTAGCATACTGAAGACATGTTTGTGTGCAATTTACTGCATGTGCTTTAGGCTTTTAGGTGTGACATTTGCCTAAAGCCTCGCATACTGTTGAGACACCCTGCACACTAATACTTTAAAGTCTTACCATGTCGATGGTGACTGGCTCACTTTGAAAATCAACGCATTTGTGCTTGACTGTGTCCCACTGACATTTCCACTTAGTATTCACACAAGAGATGCACCTGGAAATCAAGGAATATTCCATATGAATCAAATTCTAAGAAACCAATCCAAACTTGGCTACATAAATCAACAAGACTCACGGCACATTTTCAGAGATGTAAGCGGATTCTGCACAGTTATAGAACTGATAGGAATAATTAGCAAAGAACACATTTCTCTTCTCTTTTCTAATGGTAAGGGTAATAGGAACATCCACAAAATCTGAAACAAAAACAGATATGTATTGTAAAGCAATGTAAGTGCTCAATAGTTTTAACTTCTTTACCTCTTAAGTAAAAAAAAAATTGTCATTACCTTTGCCGCGTTCATTATCTGGAATCTTTTCTGGCTGTGGACACGAAATACTTCCATCCTCTTGCAATATGGCTGCCTGGACATTTCCTCCAAAATCACATATTAGCTGGTCTTCATCATAAAGTTTTATAGGTGGCTTCACAGTTAACCTCACCTGGATAGACACAATTAATTAGAACCTGCTCTGCTCATTTTTAAAGTACCTCCTTGTCTTGATGCCAAAAAAGATTCTACTTTATTGCTTGGCATAAAAGCAGGTAGGTATCAAAATACAGATGTCAAAGCAGCTTTCTATTACAGCTCACTTGCGTGGTAAAACAAGATGAGCGAAATTGGAAGCTTTTGATTTGCCAAAATGTCACCATTAGTGACGAGTTGGGGCTTGGTGCAAAGCTAGTTCACCTGAGTTTGCCCAAGCCCACTCAAAACTATGACCAACACACCCTCCTCCCAGCCAAATCAGTTGCGGCAGGGGCATTTCCCTGCCCCATTGTAATGTGTCGCTGATTGCACATGATTGTGATAAGAAGGCTTTGCTTATCAACAAGGCCATATGCTCATGGCCATATGCTCATGGCCATATGATCACATGGCCTTGTTGATAAACAGAGCCATGTCCTGGCTCCGTTTATCAACGAGGCTGGGAGGAGGGTGTGTTGGTCATAGTTTTGAGTGGGCTTAGCACAAAAGTAATTTGATGATAAAATGATGACAAGAATAACAAAAAAGTTTGTCCCTCTAGTACAGTGAGTGCCCAAACTGCGACGCAAAATAAATTTAAATTTATCTCAAAGTGCCAACATGTAAACAAGGTTTGGTATAGTGTTTTAGTTTGGGCACTGCTATTTAGCATCACTGCCTTAGGCAAAATCGGGAAACACACATTTTCAAACACTATTATTTTT